CACACACACACACACACACACACACACACACACACACACACACACACAGAGAGGACAACGGTGTTTGGGTAAGACAGGGCCACAATTTAATGATTTGATGTCAAAAGCAGTAAACACTCAATGAATCAGGTTGGTTGTTTGTTTTTCCCAAAGGTACATGTACAACATCCAAAGAGTCCACTGGAAATAGAAACCTTTGCTACTTACAATCGTTTTATACAGATTAACCAGCTCACAAATGCCACAAGAGAATGTTCAGTTAAAACAATACAATGAATAATATACATTCAGATTCTTAATAAAAATCTCCCTTTTCCATGTTTCTTTAAAACTTACCATCAATTAAGTCACTTATGCAGAGGTTAGGGGTACAATACTAAAAAGGCACCAACACGACAAAGCAGGTACAAACAAAGCCGTTTTTTCTGGGACATGGTCGGCGAGTGCCCTACGCGGAACCAGCCCAAGGAAGGGAGGACAGCACGGACCGCAGCGGCGTGTCACGGCCAGTGGCTTGGCATGGCCACACTTTCTCATGTGCTGTTCCGGGCTGGCCGGACTCTCTCACCGCCGCCATCTTGGCGGCACCGCTTTTCCAACAGCGGCACAGCCGTTTAGAAGCCCAAGTGCATTGAAAAGTATCAGCAGAAGGACTGCTCGATAGTTTTTTTTTTTTTAATGGCTGCATTTACAAAAATATTTCCCACCAAGTGGGGATTACTCGGAAACATTGATTTACAAATATAAAAGTACTTCGCAAGGGCCCAGATCACGTGCGTTTGCAGATGCAGGCATGGACATACTAGTACCATACTACAGACTACAAAAGTTACCAATTTCTTTAAAAATTATATCAACATAAGAAAAAGAGCTCCAACTTAATAGCTGCTCTGAAATGGTCTAAATGTGATGTGGAACAAATGGCGGGCAGTGTGGTTTTTCATCCAGGATGGCCACTCAAAACTCATCTGGGTCTCAGTTTCATCTCCTATAAAATGGGTGAGCTGAACTAGGTGATCTCTAAGGCCCCTTCGAGCATTAAAGGTCTGTGATTCCAGGTGCACGTGCTCAGCTGCTAAAAGCCTGTTTGGGGAACATCCCCCTAAATCGCTCTGATGTCTCAGAGCCAAAGCTCAAGCAGTTCAGTTGTGTCATTGCACATCTGGTGTCGTGGGTTTTGAAAGCATTTCAACCAAGGCCATGGTTAGCATGTTTCTAATGGGATTTCTGTTGGCATGCCCGATGCCAAGAGTGACTACAAACTTGTGGCCAAAGGTCTTGGCACCACCTTAGTGGGCTGCCCAGAGCACCAGATTAGTGATCCACCAAGGCTGTGGTTTCGAGAAGGATCTGAAGACCAATCTTTTAATACAGACAAAAGGGAGGCAGCATGGTCCAGAGGAAAGGTGCTGAATCTGGAGGCAGAAAACCCAGGTTCAAACCCACACCCTGTTTACTACATGTGTGACCTTGGACAAGTCATCTGAACTCTGTAAGCCTCAAGTTTCTTCATCTGTTAAAAAAAAAAAAGTGGGGGAGGAGTTGGCCTAAATCTTCCAGTTCTAAATCTATGTTCCTAGATAAATGCATCTGAAAAGCATAGGGGAGCAGGGGAAATGAAGCCATGCACACTCCTTACAAAATGAAAAGTGAGGACAGTTCCACGGCTACACCTGATTCCAGACTGATTCTAGAAATTCCCAGGAGAAGCACAAGCATGGAGGTGAAAGTCAGATGAAAAGCCCAGTGTCTGTGACCCAAGAAACCCAACTCGGCTTTGCCAACAGAGCCGAGGGTGAGGCCCGGAGGGCTCGCCAGCGTGGAGGCTGCCCTCGAGAAAGGGCTGGGGATGGAAATCCTGCAGGATCACAGCCTCCCACCCAAGAGTCCTTCCAAAGGAGAACAGTTCTTGGTCACGATTTTTTCCCTACTACATCTCTAATACCTAGCACAGGAATCGAGGAAAACTGAGGCCACACGCTCCCTGTACACCGGAGGATAAGAGTCTGGGCAGAGCTTTGTACAAAGGTCACCTTCACTGACCACCCGAGGCAGGCGAGCGCTCTGCCCAGGGATGCCAGCTGAGCCTGACTGCCCATCCAAACACACTAGCCCAGAGAAAAGCAAAACTAAACCTTAACGTTAGTGTGAAGATATCAGACTTAAATTTATTTCCATGAATTACAAGTGCATTTCTGTTCATATTAGCAGGCAGTCTTTTATAGAATCCATTCTCCATTGCTGCCCAAATCAAACAAGGAAGAGGAAAGCAGGGGGAACAAGAAGCTAAAAACAGAATTCTTTCTCCGAAGGTACTTGTTGGAAAACAACTCAGAGGTAACGAGAGATTTTTTTTGTCTCCATAGATAGGCATGGGGCTTAAGACAGTCGTCTGTGCACAGAAAGCAGTGACAGTCATGCGAGGGCACGGTCATTATCTGGAACAAGGCAGGTTTCTCACCACGGAGAGGAGAGCAGCGGAGGGAGGAGAGAGGAGGCCCAGCACGGGCTGGGACACCGGGGAGATTCCACGGCCACGACCTCGGGAGGAAGCTCCTGGCCGTCACTGAGGACGGAGGACTCTGGTGCTGGGTTTTGCCCCGGCACGGTGGGAGGGTAGGTTGGGAACAAGTAGGCGAGGCAGACATGCTACAGGAGCAGGAAGAGCGGCACTTCCTTGCTCGGGGCACAGGCGCCCCTCCCTCTGCTCCTACCCCAAGAAAGGTCAGACCCACTGAGCTGCCCAGCTCCCTCCTCGAGGGCGGGAGTCCACACTCACTCAACTCTCAGGCTGTGATCCATGGCAGTCAGCTGCCCCAGGGGGTGGGGGTGGGGTGGGGACAGGGTCTTTTTGCATACATTTTGTAAACACTCACTACTGCATATAACATGAGCTTTGGAAGGGCCCCGAGAAACGGGACAGGGAGCCACCGGACACCAGCACAAACACGCTGTGGGATGGCCAGCTCTGGCCTCTGGAACAAAATCCCAATTTCCTAGGAGCTGGACAAAGGGCATGCACTCTTGAAGAAATCAGCCCCCCCCATCCATGCTGGGTCTAGTAAAATGGCAGCCAAGAGCATCCCTGGGATGAAGGTGAAAGACACACTTGCTAGGTTGGCTGACTTCTAATTAAGATTGATTTCAGTGATTCCTGCTTGGGGTAAACAGTCATGGTTCAAAGTCGAAGTGCAAACGAGGGGGTGTCACTGACGTAAAGTGCCCTCAACAGTCCTAATCTAGCTCTCTCTCCAACACAACGGGATAAAACAAGATGCCAGTGACTGAAGCCAAGTCAGGGAAATGGAATCTACCGCGTCAACTCGAGGGTCCCCGGGGAAGGGGTCTGGCATCGGTGCAGGAGTGGAAGGAACCGCTGCATCTCTCAGACCGGAAAGCGAGCAGGAGACTAAACGAATGGTGAGCAGTCAGTGTCCTCGGACAAGTCACCAATGGGGAACACACACGGGAGTGTCAATCACGATTCTTCAGGCTGAAAGAATTCATCAAAAGCAGAGAAGCCACAACTACCAGAAGCCGCCCCTCGGAACGGCTCCGAGGAGTTAAAAGTGGAGAAGCCGAGACAGGCCAGAGGGACACGACCAAGGAAGTGGGAGAGGAATGTCCCTGCAGAGCATGTCAGGGTCCCCTACGGAGAGAAGAGAGGGGCACGTTACTGGAGGCGGGCCAGGCAGGGGCTCCGGCCCCTCGGAGCACTCTGCCGAGGAAGGCTCCGCCTCTGAGACGTGGTTTCAATACCGCTCCCAAAGCGAGTCTGACGTCGGTGTGGGTGCCCTCTCTCAAACCCTCCCTCCACACATGCGTGGGCAGGCAGCATGGTGACCTTCTGTGGAGGAGAACCACCACCCCCTCACTTGGGCATGTGCTTGGCCAAGAGAAACCCAGCCTCCCGGTGACGCTGCCGCCTAGGTCTTTCTGGCTTTCAAGAAGCTGTCAGACTTTTGCTGGGGGCAGGTGAGAGAGTAACTATGGAAGGAATCAAACATTTATTAAGCACCTACTATGTGCTAGGCACTGGGCTAAGTGCTTTACTCATTTGATCCTCACAACAGCACTGCCAGGGAGGTGCTGTGGTACCATTTTATAGTTGAAGAAACTGAGGCAGACAGAAATTAGGTGACTTGCCCAGGGACACTGGCTAGCATGTGACTGAGGGCGGATTGGAAATCAGGTCTTCCTGACTCCAGGGCTCTACCCACCTCGATGCCTCTGAGTCCTGGGTCACGGCCACACCATCACAGTAAGGCCAATGGAGGAAAGAAGGAAGGAGGCCAAAGAGGAAAGAAGATTTCCCTATTTTTAAAGATGTGCTTATACTATAGAGAAATGACTATTTTAATAAACCCTGAGAAACTGGAGAGCTGCAGACTGCTTTCCTCTGGAAGTGTGTGTTGTTGGGCAGGAGAGAGCTCAGACATGGATTAGCTGTCTGACCCGGGGCAGCCCTGCAAGCCCTCTGAGCCTCAGTTTCCTTCTGTAAAAAACAGGAATCACGACCACTTCCCAGTTTAGCCACAGGGCTTTTGAGAAGCCCTGGGTGGGGGGGGTGTCAAACAGATCATTCAGTGTATTCCCGGGTCAGAGAGCTGGGCCGAGGGACAGGTGACAGCCGCCGGTAGAACGTGAGGGTTAATGGCAGGGAACGTTGGGGCCCTCCACTCGGTGGGTGCTTGTGTTCTGCATCCCCACTTAGAAAGCTTGCTGGGCCCGGGAGGGGGAAGGGAGGAGACCTGTGTACTGGGGAGCAGTGATGGCTTGGGGACCAAAGTCAGGAGGAAGAGGTCAGGGCACAGCCTGGAGCCTTCCACAGGGGAGCCAAGCGGCAGGCTTGGCAAGGACAGCCTCTGAGGGAGGCAGCATTGTATGAGCCATGGGACCTACGGGACCTTGGGAGCTTCGAACGATACTAGCAATGATAATGGCGAGCACTGGCTTGAGTGTCCCCACGTCATCTGCCCACGTCCTCTCGTGATCCTCACAACCACCCCAGCAAGGATGGGCTAGCAGGCTCATTCCCATTTTACAGATGAAGACACCAAGGCAGAGAGATTCAGTGACTCGCCCGGCTCACACAGCTGCTAAGCCCTGAGGCCAGATGTCACCTCGAGTCTTCCTGACTCTTCGAGGCCACCCATCATCCTGGGCAAAGAATGGGGGCCAGACGAGATGACCTCCGGGGTCCTTCACGGTCCCCAGGTTCCCATCACCCATGCTGTCAGAGTCTTGGCTTTCAAGGCCCTGGCACTTCTGACCTCTCGGGCCTCATCAGCATTGGCACTCACCACCCTGAGCAGCTGCTTGCTATTCAGACTTTAATTAACCCTCAATTCCTATGGTTAAAGCAGGGCCCAGCCTACAAGGCCTGGAAGAAGGTGGCAATTCTCACGCACGAGGTACGAGTGCCTGCCCTGAGCTCTGCGTTCTCTGAACTTCTACAGTCCACTACACCATTAGACAAGCCTCCACTGACGTTCTCTGCCACTGCCCAATAGTACCCTGGGGTACTCTACCCACTGAGCCACCCTGCTGCCCATCCCTAGAGGACTTGGTGGTCTGGGTGACCTGCGGAGGATCAATGTTTCTGGCTAGAAAAATCCACCACGACTCCATAAAGGCCTGGACTGGCAGTGGAGACAGCGTGTGAATTAAAATCACCACACCAGGGCTGGCAGCGTCTTGTCTGACACTGAAGGCGTGACTCTCAATTCAGATTGATTGACCCAAAGCCGCAGCTTCCTCCCCTGTAAACCGGGGGCTGCAATCCTTGCCTCCCCTGCCCCATCAGGCTGTCGAAGGGACATGCTTTGAAAAACAGAGGGCCACAGAAGGGCACGCCCTCACCCAACAACTCCCCCCTTGGCCCGGGGCCCTGATTTCCTGGAGACGGCGGAAGCAGCGTTACCTGTAAAAGTTTAAGAAGATCGGTACCCAGGTTGGAATCGGGCAGTCTCTTCAAAAATCAGTTCTTTCAGCTTCTCCTTGGGCAGGTCATCCAGTTCCATGTCAAACTTGAACGGGGCTTCGGCTACAGGCTGGAAAAAGGAAGGAGACCGTGTGTCAGCTGGGGAGCGCTGCTAAGTTCCTGAGAGAGGGAACACGGTCTGGGTCCTAAGGGGATCAGTCAGTACAACAGAAATCGCGGCTACAGCGGCATCGGTCTAGGCCACGGCCAGAGAACGGCCTAGACCTAGACTGGTGTGGCCCCAGCAATGGGGCCACCCAGGAGGAGTCACTGTGCACACGTGAGCCGCCTCGGTTCCCTTCACTTCACCAAATACTTACCGAGTGCCCAAGATAAGCAAGGCAATGAAAGACTTCCTTTGGCGTTTGACCAGGCTCCATAAATAGATCTCCCTGCTGCTCAAGCCAAATGCCCTCCCCAGTGACCCAGCTCTCTCCTGGCCTCCAGACCTCCACTCTGGCTCTGCGGGAAGTAGGGATATATCTGTTCCCACCATTTGGCAGAAGGGACATGTCACCCCAAGGTGGAACCAACTTCCAATGTGTTTTCCCACAGAAACTCTGTTATAAAATGATGGTTCGGGTCGCCAGTACTATAATTAAGAGACATGATAGGTTCAGTCGGCATTTATGGCTGCTCTGGGATCTAACCACCATTTAAACCATTGTTTTCTTTGGGGAAATGTGTTTCAAGTTCCAAGTAACTGCCTCAGAAACCCTGGCATGCACCCCATTTCCACGCGCACGTGTGCGCGGGAATCCGTGCACACAGTGTTAGAGGTCTGTCACCTGAAGAAGCCACAGTACGTTCCCCTCCCGGGATGTGGTTCTGCAAGGGCCCCCGGCCTCAGTTCATTAGACAGCAGACGTTTAGGTAGCACTCCAAGGTTTGCTAAGCGCCTTACAAACGTCCCAACCACCCTGCAGGCTTGTCGATTGTCACTTGTCACAGACGAACCCAGAAGATACAGGGTCAGCGCTGGAAGGCGTGCATCGTGGCACAACAGGGACCTGTGGTTTTGGAGTCAGAGGGGCCGGCTGGAATCCTGCCTCTGCCACTTGGAATGTGAATGAACTCAGGCAAGTGACAACCCCCAGCTCATCTCAGGGGACAGGTAGGACAGGAATTATAACCCCCACTTTAAAGATGGTGAAACAGGTAGAGAGGGATTAAGTGACTTTCCAAGAGTTACTGAAGACTGCCAACGAGGAGTCTGGTGTAAACACCAGCTGTGGAGCCCCAAGGACAGGGAGCCACTAGGGTGGAGAGATTGCCCTTGGGCAGGACTTTGGACTCTGAGACCAGACTGGGGGGTGGTTCGTGCTGCAGACACGGCAGCGTTCTCTTGGGAACTGCTCTTTGGTGGAAGTGATGTGGGCTGACCGAGCTGTATTAGGGAGAGCTATGAGGGGACTTAGCACGCGCAACTGACAGACCACAGGAATTGTTCATTTTCGTCCTTGTCTCCTCAGTGCTCAGCCCAGTCTGGACACACAGTAGGAGCTTAACAAATCGCTTGCTGAAGGTCAGCAGTGACCATGTGTTTAGCCTCGGGATGGCCAGAGGGCTGGTCCCTCCTCACATGTGCTTTCCCAAGCACTCGTTCTCTATGCCCAAGCTTCAGGGGCTTTGGCTGGTAAGGAAATCGTGGCACAAGCCTGTCCCCAGCTTTCCATGCTAGATGAACACACAAGGAGGGACCTGGTAGGTGGCCTTGACTTTGCCAAGAACACAGCACGGTTATGGGGGTGTCAACAGTTTTAAAAGCAAAACCCTGTACAAAGCTTTGTAAATCTTAAAGTGCTACATGAATGAGTTTTTTCTTAAGAACACACTTCCTTGGCCTTCCCCAACAGCTCCTCCCCTCCCTGGTGCTGTCTTTTAAGTGCCCCCAGCAAATATCGCCAGCGTAGCCTGACTGTCCATGCATGATGGGATGACAGATGGCGACCAGGGAGGTGGGCCGCTCCAAAGCCGGCCGGGGAGAGAATTCTTCAGCGATCTCCCTCATGTTAGGAAGCAGCCCACCCAAGAGGAGCCTCACCCACTCCTTACCTCGTCACTCGGGTCATAATACTGCTCCAGGTAGGGATGGGCCAGCGCCTGCTCCACCTCGATCCTCTTGTGAGGGTTAAATGTCAACATCTTATCCAACAAGTCCAGAGCTAGAACGAGAACCAAGTTGAGTTGGAAAAAAAAAAGGGGGGGGGGGGATGTGACAGAAGGAACCTGCTCCTGGGCTCATCGGCCTCTAAAAGGACTTAACAAAGACACGAACTCGTCCTCAATGTCCTGGGCTGCGGCCACACCTGCTGGCTCCTGAGGCTGAGCTCTGGGCTCAGGGCACACGGGCAAACTACCGGCCATCCAACCTGGCTGCTCCAATCCTCAGACCTGGCTGACGGTAGGGAATCCAGAGCCACACGGCCCTGCGCCAGTCACCTTCCTAAAGCACAGACCTGACCACGTCACTCCTCTCCTCGACACCAGCTCGTGTCTGACTCTAGGTCATAAAAGGACCGTCATCCCTGGCACCCATCTACCCGGCCACGTCATCCCCCTTCCAACAGTGCCCAGGTTGGTCAGACTGGCCTTCTCCATGGGAGACGCACTGGCTGCCCCCGGGCAAAGCCTACAACGCACTCCCACCTCCCCCTTGCCTCTCAGAATACCCCATCTTTTTCCCAACTCAGAATTTCCTTCCTGGATGTCTGTCCTCCCGCCTGGGCTGACCCACACTGCAAAATTATCACACCTATCCTTCCTCTGAGCTCCCTGACGTCAAGATCTCACCCATTCCACTCTGGTGGCCAGTTCCTTCCTGCCACTGAGATAGCGACAGGTTCAGCCACCCAAAAGAGCTGCTGGCACACCCGGCCGGAGCCCGGGCAAACTGGAGACGCAGAAACGGTTTTCTGCTTCACTGCACTGCTACAACGAGCCTGGCAAGCGGATCGCACACAGACACCACAACACAGGTGACATAGCTCAATCAGGAAGGTGTACGCCAATCTCACAAGGGACGCACGATGCATATGTGAAGTCGTGCATCCAAAACACCACCTCTGGGAAGCAGACCAAGATAGCCAGACCCACCTCAGCACATCAGTCTGATGAAAGACCCAAGCAAACAGGCTGGAAAAGACAGATGGGCTACGGGTGGGCTTCTGATCAACAACGGGGAACATTCCTGCATCTGGGCCCCAGAACCGAGAAAAAGGGCGGCGCTGTCAGAACAGGGACTGGAGGAACCAGAGCTGACTGACACGAGACAAACAACTGGCGTGGCCCTCACCCCCCCCACCCCCACAAGAGCCAAAGAAGCGACCTAATCAGCCAAGAGGGAAGAAAGGCTGCTTCGTCCATCGCTTCCAGGTCTCCGGGGCAGACACGCTCACCACCTGACCATCGCAGAAAATCCTCCGGCCGGCCGGAGGAGCGCGTACCTTTGGGGTCAGCGTTGGGGAAGAGTCTATTCCATGGCACCTTGTTTTTGTGAGGAAGAGACAGCAAATAGTTCCTGGCTTTTAAGTTTATTATGCAATTCAAGTCTTCTTGGGATGGGGATCCAAGAATGCCTAGCAAAAGAGAGGGATTGGATTTTACAATACAGAAGCATCTTAGAAATGTTAGAGAAAGGTAGAGGGGCTGGCCCGTGCCACCATCGACATCCTGATCTACAGACAGGGAAGCTGAGACTCAGGGAAACAGCCTATCACCAAGCTAGCTGGTAAGAGAGCTAGCGCTCGAACCCAGAGCTCTCCACCCCACCCCCACCACGTCAAGCAAGGAAACGTCTACCAGCAAACACTCGTCTGTCACCATACACAGCACACATCTGTGGGGCCACATCCACAGACGGATGGGGAAGATGCACCAGCAATGAAATGACCCCTGTTGCCTTTCCCACGGGTGCGACATCCCCCAACCCCCACCCCCTTTCCTTCACGGAGAGTGTGAAAGCTATCCACAACGTGGGGAAATGAAAAACAATGACAATTCGTGTCTAGGCTACAAAATCAGCCGCCTGAATTAAGTGAAGGCTTTGGACCACAGCGAGAGAGGCGAGCAGGTTACAGGGCCGAAGCTTTGGAAATGGAGGAAACACGGAATCTTACCAAGAATGTGGTTCAGCTGATCAAGGTAATGTTTTCCAGGGAAAATGGGTCTGTTGGAGAGCATCTCTGCCAGGATGCAGCCCACGGACCAGATGTCAATGGACTTGGTGTAACCCTGGAGGAAAGGAGGAGAGAACGGGACAGCGTCAGCCGAACGGCAGTCATGGCAGGCAGCAGCTTCATTCCCACTCATTTCTAAAGGGAGGTGCAGCATTTCCTCCAGCTGGTCACCTGATCCTGAGAAGAGCCTCGAGGCTTCACCGGATAGGCCCAAGGGCTCCGTGGCCCCACAGCATGGCCGATTACACAGCACGGGCCCGACTCACCGGGGCTCTGGTCAGGGAGGAAGCGCCAATGCTGGGGACTTACCTGCAGACAGAAAGTGCCAGCCACGGAGCTAAAGAACTTGAGGGGCCGAGCGAGAACTTGGGCCCAGGCCTTCTGCTCACCAGCCTCCACCACAGAGGTTTCTCGAGATGACCTGAGAGCTTGTCTGCCTCAGGCCTCCCACAAACATTCCATATGGAGTGAAGAGGTAGGCCCAAAGGGGCCCCCATTCTAGGGACAGAGTTCGGGAGGACCAGAGGTGCAGCAGGCAAGGAGGGCCAGAAGTGTCTGAGGGAAGGCATCCCAGAGGAGGAAGAGAAGGGCTCAGAAAGCCACAGCCCAGGCAAGAACTCCTGGGCAACTCGGAGGAGGAGGGAGGCACAAAGTCAGCGTGGCTGCCCTGCCCGGAAGCCAAGCAGAGAGCACATCAAGGGTTATGACGTGAAATATGGCTGGAAAGGGGCAAAGGGGAGCTGGAAGGGTGGGGAACCCACACTACACAAAGCAGTTTGTGTTTTACCGTGTGGGTGATAGGGAAGAGCACTGGATACCAAGAAAACATCGTCATGGGAGCAGAGCCCTGACCCAGAGATGGTCCCTCCCTTCCTCTAGTCTGTATCTCCTCTAACTAAGTCGATCAATCCTCTGCCCCCCCCCCCACCAAGGATTTGCAACACGCTCTGAAGAGGCAGAGGTGATTATGAAAGCTGTAACAGACAATCTTAAATATAATAAATCTCTACTTATCTATCTCTACACACACACACACACACACACAGCTTTTGCACACACAAAATGAACGCAGTTGGGATAAGGAAAAGCCATCAACTGGGGGGAAATCTTCACATTTGATGTCTCTGATAAAGGTCTGTTTCAAGATACATAGAGAACTGATACAGTAAGTGGTCAAAGGCAATGGATGAACAGAGTTTTCAAACAAAGAACCATTAACTACTGATCAACCATATCAGAGAGTTCTCCGAACAATTAATAAGAGAAATGTAAATTAAACCAATTTTAAGGTTCTAACCACCGGTCCATAAGATCAGTAAAGATAACAAGATGAAAGAGCTTAATAGCAGAGACTTTCTGGAAAGGCAGGAAACGTAATGCTTTCGACAGGGCTAGAAAACAATCTGGAACTATACTGCTACAAGATCACACTGCACACACCAGACCTTTTTTCTTGGTGAGCTACTGCTATGGTTAGACCACTAGGAAGTCCAAGAAAGGGGAAAGGGCCCTTTCCCCTTTCTTGGACTTCCTTGTGGTATAATCCTATAGCTAGCTATTATATTACATATACAAAAAATACTCAGAGCAGCATTTTCCAAAAAACTGGAAACAAAGTAGATACCCATCAGTTAGGGCATCACTGAAAAACCTGTAGCCTAAGAATGTAATGGTATATAACTGCACTCTAAGAAATGACAAATACGAAAAGTTCAGAGAATCTTGGGAAGGTCCCTACAAGCAAATGCAGAGTAAAGCAGGGAGAACTGAGAGAGGAACCGAGTCAACTTTAGAGCAGGTGTTCTGAACACGGCACCCGCAACCTTCACTTTTAAACATTTTGTTAACAATATTTCATTAGCATCATGTGATTGAGAAAATCCTTTCATGTGTTAAGTCAATCAATCACCACTTATGAAGGGTGTCCTATGGGCCAGACAGTCTGCTGTAAAGCACTTCCCCTTAGAACGTAAGCTCCCTGAGGCCTGCACTGTCTCCCTGCTTGTATCTGTATTTCCAGCATTTGGTACGGTGCCAAGAACACACTAGGTACTTGCCTAACAATACACGTAACCTGTATCCAATAATAAGTAACGTTTCACAACTGATGCACCAGCCAGATCTGGGGAGTGGAGAGAAAACCCTCCATGATCCTAAAGTGTCAGCCTGTGGAGCAACCCCAGCTCAAATTAAGGGGAGCCACTGACGAACAGCAGGAGAGACGACAGCTTAGAAGAGGTGAGAGCTCGGCCCGCCACACGGCTCTGTCGCTGAAGAAGGGAGAACTGTGTGAGCCTACACGTCTTGCTTCTTAATGTCCTCACTCATGTCCTCCTGACTGCCTCCTGATGGCACGGTAAGGGCAGGCCCTGGACTCTTAAAGGCTCCGCCAATGAAACACAAGCCTTAGCAGGTCTAAGAACGATGGAAATGAATTTTGGGAGGGGTGTGTATCCCTTGTCCAAGGACCATCCTAACTGTGGAGCTGACTTTTCCCTGTGTGACAGTGGGACGCCCAACTGGGGACTGACCTTGGAATTCAGCATAATTTCAGGTGCTCGGTACCAGCGTGTGGCCACGTATTCGGTCAGGAAGCCAGTGTGGTCGTGGTCTGGATCTGCAACACGAGCCAGGCCAAAGTCACAGATCTGAGAAACACAAAAATGGAATCATCACGTACACGGTCAATCCACAGCATCGCGCAGTCAGCCGATGGCCAAGCTTTAACAAAACAGAGGTTACATTTTAAAACCAGTGAAATGTCTCCCAAGGACCAGTTTCCAAGACCTGAAGAAGTCCCATCAAGTGCTTAGCAAACTTTCTTCAGATAAAGTTCAGTGGAGTGGGAGTGCCCTTTGACGAAAAGGGAAAGGTAAGATTCAGTGAGATGGAATAGTAATGATCTCGGAACATACAATCTAGATGCAGTCCCCACCACTGGGAGACTTCACATTTCCTCTGGAAAATCAAATGCAAATCAGTATCAAAAATGAAAAAGAAGAAATCCCAAGAAACAAAGAAGAAATGAAGAATATCATTAGAGTCTATTTTGCTCAACTATATGTTAGTAAGTTAAATGAAATGTATCAGTATTTACAAAAATATAAAACATCCAGATGGACTGAATTAAATCATTTTAAAATCCAATCTCAGGAAAAAAACCAAGTAAGACATAAATGAGTTCCCTCCCCCCCAAAAAACCCTTGGATTAATATGTAAATTCTATAAAATGTTCAAAAAACAATTCCAAAAATTACACAAACTGTATAGAAAAATAGGAAAAGGATTGTGCCAAACTCTTGATAATACAAATACGGTCTTGATACACTAAACAGGGAGAATCAAAACAAAGAAAACCACAGACCAACATTAATGCACACTGATACTAAAGCTTAAAATAAAATACTAAGAAAGAGGTATCACAAAGTTTATACCCTATGACCAAGTTGTATTTCTACCAAGAACATAGGGTTGATCTAATACTGGGAAAATTATTAACATAAAGGATTATATTGATAACAACAATCACGATTTAACAGTAAAGGCAAACACTCTTTTCTATTACAAACATTAGAAAACATGAAAATAAATGTACCTTTCCTTAACATGGTAAATAGTATATATCTAAGACTAAGGCAGCAGTAAGGATGTCCATTGTCACTATTTCTGTTGGACAAAATGCTAGAAATTGTGGCTACTGGAATAACACAAGAAAAAGAAATGCTATGAACATGTATCAGAAAAGAAATAAAGTTCTAGGTTTCTTTTCAAATGGCATACTTGGAAAACTCAAAAGAATCAAATAAAAATTAACTGAAACAATTTCAGTCAAGTTGCAGACTATAAAGTAAATCCACAAAAACCATCAGCATTTATATATATTACCAAAAAATCCAGCAAGAAGAGATTAAAAAAAGAAATTCCACTTCAATAACTAGAAGATGTATACTTAGGAGTTTACCAACCAAGATACGCACAGGAGCTATATGAATACAAGTATAAAATACTCTTTATACAAATACAAATAGACCTAAATAAGTAGAGGAATGTGAATTGTTCAGGGCTGGGCTGGGCCAATAGCATAAAAACATCAATCCTGCTTAATTTCCTTATGTAGTTCTATACCAAACTACCAAAACACTACTTTGCAGAATTTTACGAAAATAATAAAATCCATCTGCAGCAACAGAGAGACCACTATTAAGTCTATATCCCAAAGAAAGAGGAAATGGACTTTTAGTTACAAAAATGTTTATAACAGTTCATTTTGGTGTCAAAGAACCAGAAACTAAGGGGAGGGAGGGGGTGTGTGTGTGTGTGTGTGTGTGTGTGTGTGTGTGACAACTGGGGAACGGCAAAACAAATCATGAATATCAATGGAATGCGATGAAATTGTGCTGTAGCACTTAACACAGTACATGGCACCTACTTGCAGCTTAATCATTTTTTTGATTGACTGACCGAAATGAAGAAAGAGAAGATTTTGAGATGAACTCAAGAAGACTCACATGATCTAAGGCAGTGTGAAGCGACCAGATCAAGTGAACAATTTATACTATAACATCAATATTGTAAAAATAAATAATTCTGAAAGACTGCAGAACTGTGATCAGTGCAATGATGGGCCGTGACTCCAGAAGCCCGATGACGAAGCATCCTACCTGACAGAGAGACGGTGGACTGATGTGCACCACGAGACTCACTATGGAACACGACCAATCTGGTTTTGCTTGACTATGCTCATTTATTACAAGGATTTTGGGTTTTTTTCTTGGGGGGGGGGGTTGGAGAAAAAAATAAATGTTTCATAATAAAAAAATTAATTAAAAATAAGGAAAAAAGAAAATTTAATAAACTTTATGCTTTTGGGAATAATTAAGCCATAATATAAAATATCTTCTTAAAAAACTGTTTGAAAGAGAAATAAACAATTCTTCAGTATTTCTGCACAAGTTCATCAGGACATAATCTGATATAATCTTACAATAATCATGATGACAAACCCAGTTTTTTTTTTAATACACCCAGTGTTAAGAGAAGTTTTAAAGCTAAAAAAAAAAGGAGGGGAAAAAACCCACACAATTCTAACGGTTGGAGTACATCTGTGTGTGTATGTTTTTTTTTAAACCAAAAGCAAATCCATTTAAATTACAGTATTCATCAAAACACAAGCATAAGAGGGAGAAACCTTGGATACAGGCCTGCACAAATTTTCACCTCTCCCGCCCATACTTATCAATGGCACTCCCACATGATCTGTTTCATAGTGAACACAACCACCCCTCCAGCTGCCAAATGTATTTGGCATGCCCAAACAAATTCAGATAAATACCTCCTGAAAATGAAAAAGCACATGGCGCCCAGCTCCACCCACAAGGGAAAGAAAAGGTGGAGAAGAAAGGCAAGGTAAGCTCATTCACCCGAAGGTCTGAGCTGGGTTCAACCCTGCATGGAGGGAAGCCCCAAACACATTCGATTCAGCTCCATTCAACACGCTGAAGGGCCTGGGGTAAGAAGTGCTAGGAGATACATTCTCGAAGCATATACACAGATACACGGAGAGAATACACAGATGATACACAGAGGAAAAGTACAACATAGCCTTGACCCTCAAGGAGTTGACAACTAAAAGAGAGAATGTAACGTAGATGGAGACAGGACGACACAAGAGGAGATGCGCTAAGGGCCAAGGAGAGATTTTTAAGATGGCAACAATGTATTCTCTTCTGCAAGTTGACAGACTGGCACTGGGGGAGGGGAAGAGCCCGAGTTGGCCCAGAAGCCAAGGTGGCCTCTGAGAGTACGTGAATCACTGCTGGGCACACCAAGTGGGAGGACTGATGAGAATGGCTCTTCTCCATTTAGAAGAATCTTTTGAGTTGGAAAAGATGACAAAGGTCACACCGTTCAACCCACGCCTCCCGAGAGTGGACCGCATGTCAGCTTCACATCCAGCCGGGCCATCATCTCAGCATCTTCCTGCCACTACTGGTCTGCTCCTCCCCATCGGCACCAGATCAGAGCCCTGGGCTTTCCTGGATCCACACCCAAGTGTCGGAGTAGAGCCACTGACCACTGGAGCTCCTGCCTCACGAGGCAGAGCAGATGACTGGTGGCCAAGTGGGCGAACACTACGTCATGAGTGGACCGAGACACCAGCCCGTTCTTGAGCTGCTCACCATCTTCCTGCCAACCACAGTCCTCCACACACACACTCCGCCATCTCCCCCTCGAGCCCCTCTGATGTGCGTGTGTGTGGACGACTTTCAAAAACCACTGAGACAGACAGGAAACGAGGCAGATAGGCCGACACCTGCTCGTGTTCTTGGGTGGGGGTGGGGGATTTAATAAAGATTTTTTCTCAGATTGTCCCGCTACCCCATCTCAACTGTCCCTCATGCCTAAAGCATACACTGTCCTCACCAGCAGTTCTTAGACTCCCAACTCTTTCACTGAAGAGCTATGCTGTGTATGAGGCTCTTTTCTGGTCCCCTAGCTGTCAGCACCTTCCAACCCCAAAATTAACCTGTACGGACTTCTATGCGTTTTAGGTCTATTTATATGCACGTGTTAGTCGTCCCCCAAAGAATGGAAGCCCCCTGAGGACAGAGGCTGTTCTGCTTGTCTTTGTATCTCAGGTGTTTAGCACAATGCCCGCATGCAGTAGGTGCACTCTCCAAAGTCACCTAGGAAAGCCGTACTGAGCATTCCCAGGGAACTCTCTTCCAGGCTCCGCTTGGAGATGTCCAGGGATATGGCACACACACAGCCTACCATGTGACTGAGGGACAGTTTCCCCTTCTATGGAGCCGAATTTGCCGATCTGTGACTTTCACCTTGCAGTTCCTTGTCCTGCCCTTTGGGGCCAAGAACAAACCCAACTGCTCTTCAACAGGCTGGTACTTCAAAGGCCTGAAGAAAACTACCCCTCCCCCGACTCCTCTTCTGCAGATAACATCTGATAATCACTAAAACTGGCCAATATCATGAAAGGACAGAACTGGGGGGGAGGGGGTGGAAGGAGGCAGCGGGTCATGTGGCTTACCAGTTTTACTGAAATCTAGCTTCTCCAGCAGTCTTGCTCAGGTTTTCTGCCTGGCATTCCAGGCTCTGCACAATCTGACCCCAGCCCACGTTCCTAGCCTCTGTCCATACCGCCGTATCTAGCCGCACAGTCTATGCTCTCCCCCTCGTGCGCTACATGCCACCATGGCCTCTGGGGGCACCGTCACCTCCCCCTGGGATGTCCTCCCCATCTCCTTGTTCTGCCTGCTGAATTCTTCCTCCTCTACAAGTCATGTCCAGATGCCCCAACCACAGACCTTAGTCAGAATCATCACTGTCTGTGCCTGTGTCCTCTGAGCTCAGGGAGGAGAGAAGAAGTCTTCCCCAGCACTTACAGGACTGTTCTGCAAAAAAAACCGCTGTTATACCCGGGAGGTAAACTAACAGTCTCTGCAGCACCCCAAGAGCTTATCCCAGACTCGTTGCTTCTATGCTTGTAACATTCGATGGGGGAAATGCTACCCAGCCATATTTATCTCTTGGACCTTCCAAATGACTGACCATGACCTGTCACCGGGAGGTTTGCCAGTGGATGGGCCAATCAGCAATCCACTGAACTCGGAAGTATCTTCCACAAGGCCTGGAATTCAAGAAAACTGTCACACTCAACTCCACAGCACCCTGGGATGGCTGCCCAGGCAACAGTCACTGGCCTGTGTGATGCCTGGCCCAGAAACCCAACTGATCCAAAGCTGACTATACCTCGCCAGGCGAGGAAGCCAGAGCCCTGGACAGCAGAGCAGGCATTCCCAGCAAAGGACCGCTGGAGAGAGCTACCATCAGTCCAAGAGCACCCGGCTAATGAGGCCGTAAGCTGGCCTACTCCTGCCCATCTTAGAAATACCAAGGGTGCAGCAAACTTCTGGTTTGACTGTTGGCTTATCCGTGCACATCGTCCAGCCATCTTTCTTTCTGTCTCCATTAAATGCTTTGGCGATTAAAAGAGGACTCATTACTTTGAATAGCAAAGGGCTAATATGGAATAAACAGAAACACTAGCGTCAAGAATGGGTTTCCCCGATAGCAAACATAAGCAAGCACGTGGCTCGGGGCTAATTCCAGCAGGGTGGAGGCTTCCAGTCCTGTCTCACCCACTGCAGGTAGTGGGGACATGTTTTATCCAGCTGGCTTCTGTGACAGCACAGCATTGGAAAGATGCTGTTCCCAATGGCAAGGGGCAGCGGGCAGAGGAGAAGGCACTACAGAGAGAGCTAAAGAGCCTGAAGACGGCAGCATGGCAGGGCTCCTGCCACCGGTGCCAAGCAAACAGCCAAGGCCATGGGAGTGGGACTGCCCTGGGTGAGAAGAGCGGGAGGCGAGGGGGGCAACTCTGTGAGGACGTCTGCAGGGACAGAAATGGACTGAAGCAACAGGACACTAAGTCCTGCCTGAAAATAAGGCTCTTTGGGGAGCATGTGCTGGCCACAGATGGCTTCAAAGGACCATGTAGATGCTGCTGGAGCAGCCATGGCCAGGGTGATGGCCACTCTGCAAGGTCACCAGGACCTTGAGAGACAGGTGAGCAGATGCCAGAAGCTGCTAGACAGGAACCCTCAGAGAAGAACCAGCCAAGGAAGAAGCCTGGACACAAGAGCGATCATCTGACGAGGCTAAATGTCTTTTTAGCAATATATGTATGGGGTCTATGATACTTGTACTAGCAGTAACCCACATTCACAGCACTAAGAGTTTCTCTTTTATTTTATTTATTTATTTAGTTTTGCTTTTTTTAGTGAGGCAATCAGGGTTAAGTGACTTGCCCAGGGTCACACAGCTTGTAAGCGCCAAGTGTCTGAGGCTGGATTTGAACTCAGGTCCTCCTGACTCCAGGGCTGGTGCTCTATCCACTGCACCACCTAGCTGCAAGCGTTTCTCAAAAGCACCAGGGCAGTGTGCCTGTTTTACTCTGTGTGTACGTGTGTGAGAGAAAGACAGATACACCATCACTCTCACACACACACACACACACGCTCCCATCACCCCCCACACAGACATGATCTAGCATGCATCTGGCAGGGTCCGGAAGACAAAGCCCTTGGGGCTCTCAATGTTCAGTGTCAGATTTCACCAATGGAAATGCCGTGAGGAAGATGTGTGAGCTGCACCAGGACCCTGGGGACCTGACGTGCGGGTGCTGCCTCTGCTTCTCAGTCTGGGTGCTCCCGGGAGCAGGGGCTGCTGGGTTTTTCCATTTGGATCCCCGGCAGCTAGCCCAGTGCTTCATAAACACTTTCATTCTCTCTCTCCCATATATAGTGTTTCCCTCATGTTCCCAACAGATGCTTTTGGGGTTTGAAAACATAGTTACTCACTACTTTCACTTTGAGGAATCTACATAAGGAGTATGTATATGAGACCCGTGTGAGTCTTGTTCTAATTTTATGACTCCATAAGGCATGGGGATCTGGGACCAGATAAAATGGACGGTAACTCTTTGCTATTCCAGTAGCAACTGTTCTTTAGTGGGTCTTGAGAAGTCACCCACAACTTCCCCTGCCCCTCCAAAAAGCACTCTGCTACGACTGGCTGGAGGGTTAGGGTAAGCCCAGTATAGGAACGCACAGACAGGCCAAGATGAAACGCGAGGCGTCACGGAGCCCGGACTGACCTTGAGATCGCAGGTGGTGTTGAGCAGCAGGTTGGAAGGCTTGAGGTCACGGTGCAGAACGTTGGCTGAATGGATGTATTTTAAACCTCGTAGTATCTGATAAAGGAAATAACAGATGTGGTCATTGCTGAGGTGTTGCGTCTTTAGGAGCTTGTAAAGGTCTGTTTCCATGAGGTCCTGTACTATATATCTGCACCAGGAGATTAAGGAAAATCACTACTGACACCAGACGGCATCACAACGACGGTGCAATCACGTCACTGACGAAGCACCTGCGCACCCGGCTGCCCGGAGGCAAAGACTGCCACGGCACAGTCCCTTCCCTCAGGGGGCTTACATTCCATGGGCGGACAGATAAAAATCATCAGACAAGATCAGGAGTGAGTGACGAGGGAAAGGAGGGCCCCAGACAGAATCTGCTAAGGGCGTCTGAGAGGGGAGAGGATGAGGCCAGACATTCCTCCTCCCTGGCATCCCCAGCCTGGGAGTCGGCAGCGCAGCAGAGAGGGGGAAGGAGAACAGCTCAGAGCACGCTTTTCAAAACGTGGGTTACTTTTATTCAAGGGATTCAAAGCACAGCCAGCCTCAGTTTCCTCATCTATAAAATAGGGAAAATATCTGTCCTGCTCACTTCACAGAGATGTGCAGAACACCTGGAAAAATTCAGTCAAGTACTTTGTAAACTACAAAGTGCTTTAGCTGTTGGCCACCATCTTTATCATCATGTCTCTACCTCTCCTTAAAATGATACTTTTCAGGGGAAATCACCTCTAACCTGATGAAATCATACAAACTTCCTAGAACCTTTCAATAATATCTGAATATATCTCTTCAGGGTGGGTGGTAAAGACAACTGGCCCCCGGAAAGCAAGATTAGCTCTGTGCTCCTGAGCCCCAAGGACAACGCCACGGGGAGGTTACATCAAGAATGCCCCACCACACAAGAGAGCCTTTCAGAGTCTGCAGCAATGTGCTGGAGACCCATCCTCCGGCCTTATCCTCACAAGCAGCACCGCCCCCCCCGCCCCCACTTTCTGGGAAGGAATCTGTGGCCCAGAGGGAATGCCTAACTTGCTCAGGGCCCTATATATAACCAGTACATGGTAGAGATGAGATTCGAATTCAGGTCCAGCTGCATGCAGCCTTAGAAACAAACTTAACAAACAGAGACATCCAAAAGCCACCCCCATGGACCCTCTCAGACAAAGGCTGGAGGACCACCTGTCATCAGCTGCAATTGGCCTCCAGTCCCTACCAACTTGGTGGGTCTGTGACTGGCTGGGTGACTCCGGGTCAGTGGCTTGTCTGCCCTGGGCTTAGTTTCCTATAAAATCTATAAATTGACAAAAGGTCCAGAATATCAAGGGAACTAATGAAAATAAATGCAAGAGAAGGTGGCCTAACTGTACCTGATCTTAAATTGTATCATAAAGCAGCAATCATCAAAACTACTCGGTACTGGCTAAGAACTAGAGTGGTGGATCAGTGGAATAGGTGAGGTCCACAAGTCACAGTAGTCAATGACTACAGTAATCCACTGTTTGATAAACCCAAAGACCCCAGCTTCTGGGATAAGAACTCACCATTTGACAAAAACTGCTGGGAAAACTGGAAAAAAGTGTGGCAGAAACTAGGTATAGACCAACATCTTACACCCTAAACCAAGACAAAGTCAAAATGGGTACATGATTTAGACATAAAGACTGATACTATGAGCAAACCAGGAGAGCAATGAACAGTTTATCTATCAGCTAAAACAGAAGAATTCATGACCAAACAGGAGTCAGAGAACATTATGAAACGCAAAATGGGTAACTTTGATTACATTAAATTGAAAAGCTTTTGCACAGACAAAGCCAATGCAACCAAGATTAGAAGAGAAGCAGAGAAAGCTGGGAAACAATTTTTACAACCAGTGTCTCTGATAAAGGCCTCTCTTCTAAAATATATAGAGAACTGTGTCAAATTTATAAGAATACAAGTCATTCCACAATTAATAAATAAATGGTCAAAGGACATGAACAGGCAGTTTTCAGAGGAAGAAACTAAAGCTATCTATAGTCATATGAAAAAATGCTCTAAATCACTAGTGATTGGAGAAATGCAAATCCAAACAACTCTGAGGTACTACACCATACCTATCAGATTGGCTAACATGACAAAACAGGAAAATGATAGATGTTGGAGAAGATGTGGGGAAAATGGAACACTAATGCATTGTTGGTGGAGTTGTGAACTGATCCAACCATTTTGAAGAGCAATTTGGAACTATGCCCAAAGGGCTACAAAAATGTGCATACCCTTTGACCCACCAACAGCACTTCTAGATCTGTATCCCAAAGAGATCATAAAAAAGGGAAAAGGACCCACATGTACAAAAATATTTATAGCAGCTCTTCCTGTGGTGGCAAAGAATTAGAAATTGAGGTGATGCCCATCAATGGGGGAATGGCTGAATAACTGTGGTATATAAATGTAATGGAATACTATTGACCTATGAGAAATGATGAGCAGGTGGACTTCAGAAAAACCCGGAAGGACTTATAGGAAATGATGCTGAATGAAGTAAGCAGAACCAGGAGAATGTTGTACACAGTAACAGCTACATTGTGCGATGACTAACTTTGATAGACTTAGCCCTTCTCAGCAATGCAAGGATCTAAGACATCTCTCCAAAGGTCTCATGATGGAAAATCCTATCCACATCCAGAGAAAGAATCATGGAGTCTGAATGCAGATCGAAGCACACTATTTACTCTCCTTTTCTTTTCTTTTGTTTTGTTTCTTCTTTCTCATGATTCATCCCATTAATTCTAATTCTTTATATCATGACTAATGTGAAAATATGCTTAATATGAACGTGTAAGTAGACCCTATATCAGACTGCATGCCGTCTTGGGGAGAAGGAGAGGAAGGGGGAGAAAACTGAAAACTCAAAATCTTATGGAAGTGAATATTGAAAACTAAAAATTAATAAATTAATTAGTTAATTTTAAAAAATCTATAAGCTGAGAAGGCTGAACCTGAATACCAGGAGTACCCTGATGTTATCCAAGGACCCTGTTGTCCTTTGTGACATTTTCATATAAATGAGGGTCTGCAAAAAGATTCTGACGTGCACATTTTCCTTCTGGAATAATAGTAACATTAATCACTAACATCTGTACCGTGCTTGTTATGTGCCAGGCACTGTGCCAAGCAATTTACAATTACTATCTCATTTATCCTCACAACAACCCTCAGAGGTAGGTCCTATTATTATCCCCATCTTACTGATGAGGAAATTGAGACAAAAAGAGGTCAAGTGACTTGCCCAGGGTCACACAGCTAGTAAGTGTCTAAGGCTGGATTTGAACTTGGGTCTTTCTGACTCCAAGCCCAATGTGCTATCCCCTGGGTCACCAAGCTGCCCCCGAATTATATTAGATACTTATTAAATAAAGCAATTTGTCAGAATAAAAATAAACTGACTTCTTCGATTTTGCTACAAGACCTTCCTACAGTCACTTTCTCCTTGCCAGGAGTCAATTCTCTCAGACTCCTTGGCCTCCCATCAGAATGGTCACCCCAATTCACTTTGGAAACACTGAGATAAATCCCCCGTCACAGGACCTTTGAGTGGGCAAAGTGAATGACCTCTGATCCATTCTACAGGATACAATGGCCATGGAGGAGACGACTCCCCTTCAGAAGCTGGCCATCACCAAAGTGAGCCCAGCCACTTCTCGGCAGAAGACCCCACCTCAGCTAAGATGACCTTCGAGGCTGGAGAGGGTCCAGTTTTCTGCTCTGGGTGGGTAAGAAGTACTCCTGCCTTTTCCTAGGATAAAGATGGTGAGGAAGACACCTCACCAGTGAATGAAAGGTGGTGTCTCAATTTATGGTTTACTTGGGGGAAGGGAACAAGCATTTATCAAGTACCTACCACATGCCAGGCCCCTGTGCTAAGCATTCTACAATTATCATCTCATCTGATCCTTATAACAACCTTGGGAGGCAGGTGCTATTATTATCCCCATTTTACAGCTGAGCAAACTGAGGCAGCCAGAGGTTAAGTGACTAATCCAGAGTCACTGAGCTAGTAAGTGCCTGAAGCAGGATTTAGGTCTTCCTGACTCCTGCCCCGACAGCAGCTGGAGGGAACAGGAAAAGCTTCAGGTAGAAGTGATGCCCGAACCGAACCCTGACGGAAATGAAGGATTTGAAGAGGGAGGGCATTCCTGGCCTTGGGGAACAACCTGGGCAAGGGCATGGAGACTAGAAGGGAGACAGAGCTGTACAAGAGAATGGTCTAGAGTTCAGGCTATGCAGGGAGTAAGGCTGGACAGGGAGGCTGGGGCCTGCTTGTGAAGGGCTGTGAATGACAAAGGAGGCCGTATTTGATCCTAGAGGTAAGAGGGAGCCAGGGAGGTCTGGGGAGGGGAGTGACAGGGAGAGCCCTCAGTTTTAGGCAGCCCTGGGAAGGCCGACTGAAGTGGGAGAGGAACTGAGGCAAGAGCCCAAGAAGGAGGTTACTGCACCAGCCCAGGCCAGAGTGATGTTCCAGGTGCAGGGTGGCTTCTAGCTCTGAGCACCGGGGGAATTCAGAGGGATGTGGGAAGAGTTACATGAACTGATGCAGAATGAAACAGGACCATGAAAGAACAACGCACAGCTCAGCACTGTCAACAGAAAGACTGATAAACTAAACTAAAAACCTGAGAAGTCAGAAGCGAGCACCGCTGGGAGTCGGGAGGGCCGGACCTCCTCCTGACTCCTCACTGACCACCGGACTTTGGACACGTTGAGTCCCTCTCCAGGCCTGTGGCTGCCCCCGCCCCGCTGCCCGCATGAGCTGTAAACCCTCCTTGTAAAGCAGATCCCCCTCCCTGTCTCTGAGTCTCCCGACAAAGGATACACATCTTTCATCTGCTCGATGGCCGGGGCCCGGATGATGTCATTGATGCCAATGATGTTCTCATGGCGGAAGCGCAGTAAGATCTTGATCTCACGCAGCGTCCGCTGACAGTAGGTCTGGTGCTCAAAGGGGCTTATTTTCTTGATGGCCACTCGGACCTTGTTGACGTTGTCGTACGCAGAACTGTAAGAGACAGAGAAGGGACGTGAGGAATGGCTCACAGAGACACCTCCCAGCTCAGACACGGCGCTAAGATCATGGCCCCGCCAAGGATACCAAGGTCATGTCTGGTGCGACATGGCAGACTCTGGGCACTTCTCCTCCCCAAGGCCATCGTCCACTCCCGGGCAAACTGACGGCACAGAGGCTGAGCCTCTCAGAGCTAGCAGACCCCTTAGCAGGCATCCGGCCCCACGGCTACCTGTGAGGCACTGGCCTCAGGAATGCCTCCCACAAGGCTGCCCAGACCTATCTGTTAGAAATGGAAGTTCCTCAGGGCCAGGGACTGCTTTGCTTTGATCTGGAGCCTCAGGACCTAGTGCCAAGTGCTTATTGATCCATTCTCAATGGATCTCAAATGGCTGACTGGGAATCTCTAAAGGACCAAACAGAATGGTACCAGCTCCCTCGGGGCAGTCTCTGAATATTGTCAAGTCAAGATCAATGGTTGGCGTCTCCTCAGACATGATACCACATTCACCTAGGACCCTTCTTTCGTCCACTCCCTTACACAATTTTAAAAGAAAAATGTGTATCTATATATGCCACCCCCACCACTTAGTCTTGATTTGAAATACAAATTTAAAAACCCCACGGAATGTTAGAACTGAAGGGGGTTCTTACAGATGACCGTTCTAATTTACTTTTTGAGGACACAAAACTGAAGACTAGAGTGGTAATGTCAGTCAGTCAATAAGTATTTATTAAATGCCTACTGTGTACCAGGCGCAAAGCACGTCAAGACAGTCCTTGCCCTTGAGATCTAACAGGGGAAACGATATGCAAACAAGCTACAGACGGGCCTAATGGGGGATGACCGACAGAGAAAAAGGCCTTCGCATCCAGAGAGAACAAGAAAGGCTTCCTACACAAGGTGAGATTTGAGCTGGGACTTGGAGGACTCCAGGAAAGCCAGGTGGTGGAGATGAGGACCAAGAGCACTGCATGCCAGGCGCAGCCAAAAGACGGCGAAAATGCCCACAGAAGAGAGATGGAGCAGGGTCACTGGATCCAAGGACCTGGGGGAGGGTGAAGGGGAGGGCAGGGTGAGTGTGGAGGGGGCAGATTACAGAGGGCTTTTTCTGACCCTGGAGGCAGTGAAGGAAGCCGCTCAGGCTTACTGAAGAGGGAGGTGAAGTGGTCAGATTGGTGCTTGAGGGTGATTGATCTGCAGGATGACCGGAGGATGGCCAGGAGCAAACGCCGCCAGGGAACAAGTGGCAGCGTGAGGACTAGCGGGCAGGCGGCCTGACTCCCGACTCTCCACCACCCTGGCTGGCCGAACGGCTAGCCGTCTGGAGCGAGAGCAGCCTTCTCCAGGTGGAAGGTGGTTGGTCTCTGCCAGAAGGAGAGAATTAAGTCAACCTGGAGGAAAGGAGACTGCACGGCTCTTCTTTTTCTCCTACATATGTTCTCCCATATGACCCCATTACAGCCATTCCTTAAGCATTACGCCTGGACAGGGGAGCAGCTACCAGAGAAGATGGTGCCAAGTGGCCAAAATGAACTCCAGACAGAGAGCACCAATATTTCTCCCGCTGAAAAAGATCGTCAAGGACACGTGCCAAAAAACAACCTATCATCTGTGCCACCTCCCACCTTCTAGTCTGTGCCACCTCCCACCTTCTAGTCTGTGGCCACAACTCTCATGTACTGCCCAAACCACAAGCGGCCAAAATCAACCTGGAAACCAACACCCCGCCCCTCCTCCCCAAGGTACCACTGCCGTGTCAGAACTCGAGAGTTCAGTGATTACATGTGGACGTATGACAACAGTAGAGAATGTGTGAAAAGGAAGGGCCCTGAGGAATCATTCCTTTTTAGATTTCCGGCCCAAAGAGGTCCCAAGATCTGCTGTGTTCACCTGACCAACAAGAGGTAAACCAGGCTGAGACTTTCAGATCTCTACCCAACCCAGAAAGTGATAAAAATCCAGAACGAGTCCAAAGGCACGCATCACTTATGCTCTCGGTAAACTGTGTCTCTTTGAGGTTCATGAAAGAAGACTGAGTTCTGCATGCATCTGACTGTGTCACTTCAATTCAAGCGTGTATTCAGCGTCTAAGGTTGCTCACTTGGATACGGGGAAGATAACATACCCTCCCACTCTTCTAAGAGCTGATGGTCTGGGGGAGGAGCGAAGACCTGGCTATACACAGACCTAGTTAGGTGAACGAATATATCCAAACAATGACATGCTATGAAAAGTTCCAAGATGGAAGATCATTTCCAGCAGTGTCATGGAGGGGCCAGGCCTTGAGAACAGGCAGAGCAGGAGACAGGCCAGTGAAGTATCCAGTGTGGCTGGCACCAAGTCCTTGGAAAGCAGTGTGGGAAAGCAGAGGCAAAAGCCAGGTGCCACCAGACCGTGGAAGGGTTTGAAGAGCAGGAGCAGGAGTGTGCACTACATTCCACAGGCAATGGGGAGCTTGTGAAGGTTTTAGGGTGAGAGGCTCACACGATCACAGCCGTGCTTTGGAAAGCGTCCTATTTCCAAGTACAGGTCGAAGATCTGGAGTGAAGCACCAAACTCAACTCCTAACAAAGGATGGCACCCTTCTCCCAACTCAACATTAGCTACTCTCACAGAATCACTGAAAAATACAATAGTCTATCCCCTTCATTTCACAGGAGGGAGCTGAGGCTTAGAGAGATGACTGAGATTAGACAGCTAGTCCTGTTGGGAATATTTATACAGGCATATCTTTTTTTCCCTTTAGTAACCCAGTTATGGTATAGTCCAAAAGCAATATCCTTGGACAAAGGTGAAAATAATCCTGAAACTCTTACTGCACAGACTCACTTCACTTTCCAAAAAGATTATTCCAATTCATAGCTCCCCTGGCAGAAGAAATCTGCCTGCTTCCCAGTCTGCCCCAAATGCATTTTGTTGTTTTTTATTTTAATGGTTTATGGTATTACCTCATGGATATTTTACTTTCTATTTCTGGCTGAGTTCCAACCACTTTTCAGATGCTATTTTTTTTCTTTAATAAAAAAAAAAAAACCAAATTTAGAGTTTGTGAAATATAACACTGCATTTAAGATTCACATCAAATACCCCTGATGCAGGGTTAGAAAAAAGAGGTTCTGATAGAAAATACGTAACCTCAAAACTGAGGTTCTGAGAAATGAAGTCATTCGCCCATGGTCACACAGCCAGCAAATGTTAGAGGAAGGATTCTCGTCGAGATCTTCCTGACTTGACTCTCTGTACAGTGCTCTACCCACCACACCATGGGGCCTATCAGAGGCTGGATCTTATTCTCACAAATTCATGGCAGATTAATTTTGTGATCCTTGTGACAGCACCCCAATCCACATTAGGGCCACAGGAAGTCTACAGAAAAGTTCGAAGGCTTTTTGCTCTTAGGCCATAGGAGAAAGGGATAAAAGAGAAGGAAGCAAAGAGCCCTCCTTCCTAGAAAGCAGATTCACAGAATCTCTGACTAAAGGACCAAGCTCTTCTGCAATGGAGCGAACAAGTGAAAACCTTTAACTCATAAGCACTTACGAAGTGCCCAGTGCATGCCCAGTGCAGTGATTTCGGGACAGCTTCTACATCTGCCTCTTGGAAGCATCTCACTGCCCCCACTTCCAATCCCTTGGGCCAAGTAAAGCTTGCCCAACTCTTCTTCCAGAGGCCAGCCCTCCAGATTGCTGGCACATTTTCTTTTCGCCCCAAGTCATCTCTTTTCCAGGCTAAACAACTCTGCTGAGTGCATCCAACCCATCCGTGCATGGCCCCAAGTACAGGGTTTTTTGCTTATCTCCTTAAATCTCACCTAACTGGATCCGACCCCCTGTCCTAAGCTGTCCAAATCTTTCTGAATCTTGACTGCCACCTTCCACATTGGCTCGGTCTCATCTGCAAATCTGATCTGCATCCAGGAGAAGAATTTTTTGCCTTGACAACCACACTGGAAAAGTGAACAATTCTGAAAGCCTTACGAAGTCTGATCAACCACGTCTCCAGAGGACTGATGACAAAGAACGGTACTCGTTTCCTGACAGAGAAGGGATGAACTCAAGATGCACAAGGGGAAATCATGTGACATCAGTCTGGAAAGATCAATTAAAGGAATTGGTATTTATGTAGAGGCAATAGGGAGCCTGGAGCTCCTCCAGCAGATGGCCCCACGTTTGCGGATTAGCAATCTGCCAACTATGTGGACAATGAATTGAGGAAGGGAGAGGTCAGAAACACAAGACCCATTAGGAAGCTGCTAGGATACTGTGGCTAAGCCCTGTGGGACACCCATAGGTAGCAGATGTGGCCACGGCAAAGATCCAGCAAAAGAGACCTAGAGGAAGCTGTCAGAGAGGTCAAAGGAGAACCAGGAGAGGGTTATTACCCCATGGACAGAGAAAGAAGAGGGCATGAAGGGGAAGAAGGTGATCAACAGGGTCAAAGGCTGAAGAGAGCAGAGAGGTCAAGAAGAATGAGGACGGATTAAAAAAAAGGCCATTGATTTGGCCACTAAATAAACATTGGAAACTTAGGAGAGGACGGTGTCAGTTGAAGGATGAGATCAGAAGCCAGAGAATTAAGAAGAGAAAAAGGAAGCAGAGACAGCCCTCCCTAGGTTTGCCACAAAAAGGACAGATATAGGATAACAGTTAATGGAGATGCATGGCTGCATGGATAAAATGAGGGGGGGTTGCCAATGTCGGAGATAGGGGCATGTTTATAGACAGCAGAGAAGTGGCTAGTAGACTGGGAAAAGGTAAGTAAGAGAATGGGGATGACAGAAGGGGCAATCTGTTGGAGAAGGCGTCTGGACTAAGTTGGCTTCTTGCCCTGGAGACACCTCTGCACTTTATCTGGGAGAAGGTTCAGGAGGAAAGAAGTTTTCTTTGTGATGACGCTGGTTATGAGAAGACTTGGTCCCCTGTGACTGGTTAGGGATCCGAGAATCATCACAGTTGGATGCTAAAGTGATATGGTCTAATTTTTCAGTCTT